GTACTACTACTACTACTACTACTACTACTACTACTACTACTACTACTACTCTACTCTACTACTCTACTACTACTACTACTACTCTACTACTCTCTCTCTCTCTCTCTCTCTCTCTCTCTCTCTCTCTCTCTCTCTCTCTCTCTCTCTCTCTCTCTCTCTCTCTCTCTCTCTCTCTCTCTCTCTCTCAGATATCAAAAAAAAAAAAAGTAAAGGAGGATGCTGCTGCAACACGGAAAAAGAACTAAAATAGATAAACGCAAACATGATTTTGCAACCTCAAAACCCCTATATTTTTCTTTCTCCCTACCAAACCGTCAGAGTCTCTTTATTGACAATAACCTAGTACTCTTTCTCTGTCTCCCGCTCCCCACCCCCCCTTCCCCCTCAAAAAAAAAACAGAATCTCTATAAGTTCTCTGGAATTATCAACAACAACCTGGACTTATTTCTCCCCTTGCTTGTTTTCTCTAGTTCCTCTAGATATTCTAACTCAACTTGTTATTATCAAATTAAATGGCACGAACCTTCTCTTATGGAGAAATCAGACTACAGTTTTGGTTCATAAACATATCTCTTTGACAATCTTGATGAAACTAACCACCTTATCACCACCCACCAATTTAAATATCGGGTTTCTCATTATCAGCACCCACTAATTTATTTGGATTTTCCATTACAACAAAAATCATTAGCCAATTTTTGGATTAGTCCATGAATATTGAGGTCTGGAACTCATCATGCATCAAATTAAGTTCCATGGCCAAACCTCTATGACATTGAGAGCTACCAAACAAAGATCCATTAGTGACTCTCATACATATAACTCCTAGCAGTCCTGATGTTAACAACAAGTCCATGAACATCTTTATCACTTGCTCTCAGCTTCCAAAGATTGGAGAACTAAATCTATTTCTACTTCAGCACTGATCAATTTTTGGTAGCATGATTACACTTTTGCAAGCAAATTTCTTTATTGCCACTAAACATGGAAGGTTATCAAGGACAAGATCGTAGCTGTGGATTTGGCTCTAGATAGAGATGTCCCAAGCCTCTCATGACACGTACTCCTACTGTTAGTCTTCATGGTTCTCAAACAACTTCTTCCTTTGCAAGCATGACCATATTGCTCTCCAGTATTATAACTGACTTAACTGGGGACATGAAATAATTTGCCACCATTTCTTGTAAGGACACATGAACTTGCCAGGTTATCCAGGATTTGTGATCTTGCCATCATGCCAGTTGCATCTTCTTTGATAGCTTATGGAACCTAAAGACTTGGGCTTCTCATCACATCCGATAAATGCACCTAGGTGTTTTTTGTTAGCTTAATCTATGTCATGAATCATTTAATATCATCCGATACAGCTCATCTTGCTTCCCATATCAGCATAACACATCTCTCAACTAGGTTTGGCATTTATTGTAGCCAATATTTCCCATAAAGAAAAATGACACAACTCATCCCTTTTCCCGAATCAGAGTAATAATGGGATCAACTAGGTTCAGTCATCGGATTTTGCCAAATGATTTCCAAATTCCACACTAATATTTTTCATAATTGACTTAGAGCATTTGCTAATTAATCTTCATATCTTATATGTCTTGTTTGTTCAACAAGTATCCTTGTCACAACGTTTAGCCCACGATAACCTTCTCATACATTTTAGCGAAAGATGATTTTAGGAGAATAAGGGAATTGCTTGGGATCATGGGAAAGCTCAAAAAATGATAAACTCATTGGGGATTGAAGAATAATGTGAAGACAAAAAGGGATTGGGCCAAATGTCTAAAACCTGGTGGTGACACATGAGACACACCCAAGTCCACCCAGCTAAGTCAGTCCAAAGGCAAGCTCAGATAAAAACTCAACCTATTAGAAGCCCGAGTTCATCATAAATTCATAATCCTTGAATGATTGTAAACAACCTGGGCAGAGTAGTCAACCAGCACATGGCCCAAGTAAATGCATTGACCAATTTTGGACTGCCAAAAGGTTATGATGAAGCAGTCCAAGCAACACCCTAGCATGACTTTTTTATAAGGCTTGATTCCTTTATTTAAATATTCCAAAGAGTTATCCATCTCCATTTACATGCACAATGTATAAATATCTTCACTGAGGTAATTTCTATATTATAAAACCAAATGAGTGGCTGAAGACTAAAAGACATATCTACAGTACCTTATGCATTACAATATAATGGAAAATTTAGATTATCCATTTGGGACTGCATATTGTTTAATGCATGCTCTCATTGCTCACACAGACATGTGTGTGTGTGTGGGTGTGTGTGTGGAGAGAGAGAGAAAGAGTTATCCATGATGGCTGGTTGAACCCACATGCTAATGGGCCGAGCCTATTCCCAAATTATTGAACCTTGGATGGCATAAATAAACATCAATATTGTCAGCAATGATGGTGACCTAATTATCACATTATATATTCTTTCTTTGTATGATAGAAATAAGCGCATCCTAGAAAGATGAATGCCACACATATGTCTCAAGCAGGTATGTAATGTCCATACCAAGGTTCAAAAAATGGATTCGAGTGCCTAGGCGGTTTGGGTGCCTGGCTGCCTAGGCGGTTTGGGTGCCAGGCTGCCTAGGCGGTTAGGCGCCCTCCTAGCCCTGACCAAAATCAAACCCCCCCCCCCCACCCCAAACACAAAAAATATAGGAGTTCTTAGGGCTAGTTTATTGCCTTAGGGAGTTTTTAGGGCAATTTTAAAGCCCCAAACTCCTCGTGATTATGAAATAGACAAAAACATAATAGTACAACAATACAATACTACAATGAGTTACTACTAACTTGTAAGCTATAAGACATTAAAATGCTTGAAATCCCAAATGTCATTGTACTGACTTGTAAGTTGTAATCAATTATTTATAAAATAAACTAAAACAAAAAAAATAGAATATCAAAATAAGACACATTGTACAAAAAAGGAATCACTTATTCATAAAAGAATATGATATATGCTCAACTTCATCGTCCAAATGAGAAAAAACCAATAAATCATTAAAAAAATAAATCTTTTTCTTACAAACATGTAAATATATCATAAAAGACAAAAAATAAAAGTAAAAGAAAAAAAACATGATCATAACATATTGTGTTGTAGCAAAATAAAATCAAAACCCTCTTTTAAATATGACAATACTTAAAAAATACCAAAATCAAATCGGTGTCAATGTAAACCTCGACTATTGGGTCGCCAAAAGTACTCAAAATCAACTATTAGAAGCTCCAAATCTACCCATGAACTATTGTCTTCGTTTTGGGAAGAAATCGAAAAAATAAAATGTATCAATCTTTCAATAAATCACAAAATAATAGTTTTTGAGGGGTTTTTCTCACCCTAAATGCCACGGATTGTATATTGGGGGTTTAGAATAACTCCAAAAAGCCTTTTCCCCCCTTTTTAGGGGGGGGGGAAATTATGTATTTTACCCTCACTGGAGGGTTTTGGGGGTTTAGAATACCCCCAAAAACCCTTTTCGCCCCTTTTTAGGGGGGGAATTTATGTATTTTACCCTCACCAGAGGGTTTTTTTCCGCCGCCCGAAAATTGTCACGGGGCGTCACCTAGGCGGCCGCCTAGAGAATAGCGCCTAGGCTGCGCCCAAACCCTATGTGACTTACATCCTCTCCTGTATTCGATAGCATACCCTATGTGACATTACCGGTCTTCCATTATAGGGCTAACCATCAGACTATATTACAAGGACATAGTTACACGAATACAATAATTAGTGTCTGATTCAGATTCACAGAATCCAACTTACCTAAGTATAATTTGCCCAGTCCAGCACAACATGTCTGTACAAGTTCATACGCACATATGTGCTGGTATATATTGATATATAAATTAATTTGCAACATTTTAATAATAAATTAACTGTTAAGAAAATTAAACATGTGGGTTCAAATCAAACACACGCATTTCCAAAACATGAGACACGTGCACCGATGTGTGTCTTACAAAATGGACATTGCTGAAACGCATTTCTCATTCATCCAATCTATGGACTCACATGTCAGCATGGCACACACCTTTTTTGCATATCCAAAAAAAAAATGAAAATTGCCAGACACGAATATCGACAAAGGTTTCTTGTCTGTATGCTTGTCACCACTTGTGTATTCGATTGCAGCACTGGATTCTCCTAAATGTGCGTGTCATGCATGTCATTGTTACATAGCCATCAGATTATCCAACCTCTTATGTCCTTCTAAATCAAAGCTATAGAAAAGATATCAGAGAATTGTAAGAAACCCAAATCAATGATTTTCACCATTCCCACTATGGTAAATTTCTACTAACAGCAAAATAATATTTTTGCATGATTTTGACATCCCATTTGATCATTCTCATGCAAATCTCATATTATAGTATCGTCCGTCCTAAATAATTTATAGTTCACCATCAAGAAGTGTTTTTCGAGCAATAAAAGGCAGCTTCGTTTCACTTGAAAAGTTAGTTAACAAAAGGTCTTAGTCATGACAAATAGTAAAGAGATATCAGTTAATCTATGACATAAACTGGTTGTAAAATGAGGTTGAAGCAAAGTGCAACTCATTGAAAGTATTGAACAACTGAAAGAATGTCGCAGCCTACAACTAGAAACATCAATGGAACATAAAAGATGTGTGGTGATCTAAAAAATAAATGTGGAAAGACCTTAATAATAGACTAATTAAATGCAACTTATCTAGCTTGCAAGCCAAGCATAGATTGGTACCTTCCCAATAGATCCTTCACCTAAATAAGTTGAATGATCAAAGTTCCTTGTCGCCTCTTCTAACTCTTCTAACAAAAACGATCGGTACACAGGCAATCCCTGGGCACCAAGTTTCATTGTTTGAGATATAAATCCTGCTAAGAGACAATAATAACCAACATATCATACTGATAGCTATCGAATGTCCATCAAATGGTCAATGTTTCTAGATCTAGGACATGCCAAGCACCATCTTACAAATCACTTCCACGAAACATAAAGGGAAGGCACGAGTTTCTCATGCACAATTGCAATAGAAAATGAAACAAGCTAGAAACTCATTATCCTTCCTTTAAGACTTGGAATTAACCATATCTGAAACTGTCAAAACTTGCCTTCTTTATCTTCTACTTTGGACTTTCCAATTCGTCACTAACCGACATAATTCCGTAAAGGTTATAAAAATACATTGAAAAATAGTTGTGTTCCATCAACATATGTATGTGTTGTGTGCATTAAACTTGAAATGGCTATGGCTACAAAATTGGACGAAGATGTTCTAAGTTCAACAGTTGGCTGGTGTGACCTGGAGATTCCTTATCTAAAAGTATGTATGTATATTTTGTGTGTGTGTGTATATATATATATATATATATATGGGTTATGTTAGGGTGCTCACACTAAAGAACATTTTATAATTGTACTCAACAAATTTTGGACACTTAGATACCCTTGTTTTGTACACATAGATACCCTTGTTTTGTACATTGAGATTTTTTTTAATAAGGGTATCTTTGGTCTTTAGGAGAGGTACGACATCATCCACATGGGGTGTGACATCGCCCACATTACTCTATGTGAGTGATGTCACACCCCATGTGGATGATGTCACAACTCTTCTAATGACCAAAAATAGCCTTACTAAAAAAATGTTCAGTATACAAAACAAGGGTATATAAGCATCTAAAATTTGTTGAGTACAATTATAAAATGCTCTATAATGTGAGTACCCTAAATGTGTATATATATATATACACACACACACACACACACACAACAAATGCCCAATGGCCCAGATTGAATCTGGGCAATCTAATAGTCACAATTGTATGTCGTATTTAAATTTTAATTTTTTTATACAAATCTAAATCACTTGAAAATTGGTACGTACATTATTACGAAATAGGTGAATCTAATAAAAATATCAAAAGAATAATTCAGAAAAATTAAATTGACCAAAATTCCTCTAAAACTTTCAAGGGTATTTTAGTCAATTTATTTTTGCAGATAATTATTTTAATATTCTTATTTAGTGCACCTTGATGAGAAAAATGGACGCCCCCAATTTCATGTGATTTGTATTTGTAGAAAAAATTTAAAATTAAAATACAAAATGCAGTTATGATCATCCGATCGGCCCAGATTAAGGGCTTACACTATTCCATCAGCCCATGAGCTGACAGAATCTTTTCCCTATATGTGTGTGTGTGTGTGTGTTTGTATGAATTATGTTAGGGTACTCATACATATAAGTATTTACTTATTGTACTCATCATTTTTAGACATTCAATACCCTTACTCCACCATGTAGTAACTATTTTTCTTAGGGGTATTTTAGGCAATTGAATAAGGGTAAAATTGAAATTCTTAATAGAAAGAAGAGCATTTATTACCTATATTGGAGGATGACATCACCCCCATGGAGCAATGATTGCTTTTTAACCACTAATAAATGCCATTACTTTCATATAGAAATATATATCCTACCCCTCCTATTTACAAAAAGTGCCCTTACTAAAAAAATATTTGTATTACAAAACAAGTGTATATGAGTGTCCAAAAAAGTTGAGTGTATTAAGGGAATACTCATATATATGAGTATGCTAACATAATTTTATATATATATATACGGACGAGACTACAACGCCTATGGGCGAAAATGAATAGTGTTTTTCGCCCATAGGTTCATCACTGCCCAAAAAAATCCGACGGTCTGCGTTTTTCGACTGCCACAACAGACATGCTAGGTCCATGACGGTCAAAAATTCACGCAAACCGCAACAGACAACCGTTACGGGTCCGTTCAATGAACCGCCACAGACATAGCAAGTCCGTGGCGGTGGCGAAACACTATAGCACTTTGCCTGTAGGGGTTTTTTAGGTTTTCCTATATATATATATATATATATATATATATATATATATATAGTAGTAATT